CGCATCTGTAGCCTTTTTTATATGAAGTTATCTGCAGGTGTCCATGAAACGAACTGCACTAGCCACTTACCGTCAGATTAATTGTGGGCTTATTTGTTGATTTGGAAGTATTAATTAATTCACGTGATAGTAAATGGATGCTGTGGCCCATATACATCTAGATTTATCCTCGATTAAGAATCAAAACGCAGATGCGTTATCACCCTGAGGACTAAGATGAAATATAAAAGGAAAATATAGTATAAAAGGGTCTCCGGAGTACTACACTCACCATACGAAACACAGCAGTATTAAGATGCTATTTTACGCTGGTGTTCTTTGAGACCGTGGTCCTTCCCCAGTTGAGCCGACCATTCGTGCAACAACCATAATATAGCTGCAGCATGGTGACTGATTGATTGACAAAATCTCAAAACGGTGACTAACAAACACGACTTTTATGAACTATTCAATTAAAACTAGCAACTTACCCCGTCTTCCCCTGGATAGGATCTACTAATGTGGCGCTATTCAGATTTAAGATTTTATGAAATTTTAGTTTTTTTTAATCTTTAATTTTTCGGAATAAATATAGCCTAGATACCTCAAAGCATTACCGTCTACTTGTTCTTAAAGTTTCTTAGAAAAACCTGAACAGACACACAGATATAACTTAATAAAAAAAATTAACAAAGAAATTAAACCGCTGAAAAAACTGAAAATCAAAAAATATTAAACCTTTTTCTTTTAACTTAATAAATAAGATTTTAAACTAATGTTAATGTACCTTAGTATATGTTTTTGTAATTATTTTGAGTTTTTACATGCTACCCATATATTTTATGATCATAAAACAATATCAGATCCACTATGAGCTGAAAAGACTAACAGATATTTATTTGTGTATAAAACTAGCAAATGTCCTATATCATTGTAGTGGATTATAATTAAACGATTGACATTCATGTGAAATAGTTGTGTTTCACTTACGGTATGAAAATGCTGTAATTTTATATGTTAAGGTCAAGTAATTTAAATTTATTTTCAGGTAATAATATTTATTTTTATTTCTAATTAACTTTTAATACAATGAATAGCAATTATTGTTATATATGCTTTACCTTAGAGAATTTGAAAAGCAATTTTTCCTTTAATATAAGATTGACTGATAGGTTTTTGAGATTGAGATTGATGTGTGAAACAAAATCGTTATCTTCTTGTAATGTAATATAATATATATAAAATAATTTGTCTCCTCTTTTAAGTACCGCGAGTATAACAGCGCTAGCATACATTTTTGTAGTAAAAATAACATATGAATATTCATGTGAAACGGAATCCATGCCTCATGTACCGCCATCGTCGCAGTCGTGGCACCGCAAGGCAAATATGTAATTTGTAGACTCTCGTTCTGTCTCATACATAGATGTTATATTGATTTTTTATTACATAGTAAGCAATGATATTATATACAATTTGGTAGTGAATATGAACTTATGAATATTCATATAAAATTAAAATCAATGCCTCTTGTACCCCCTCGTGGCCACTGCAAGGCATATATGTAATTTAAAGACTGTCGTTCTGTGTCATACATGTATTAATGATTTTTTTATTAAAATGTAAGCAACGATATTATATATATTTTGATATTAAATACGAACGTTTGAATTTTTTATAGATTAAGGGTAATAAACGAGCACACAGTCCATCTGATGGTTAGAGGATGATGATGGTAAGTGACCCAAAGATATCCACATTTATCCTCGATTAAGAATCAAAACGCAGATGCGTTGTCACCCCTGAGGACTAAATGTAATGGAATCTCCGGATCTTTACACTTACCATACGAAACACAGCAGTATTAAGCTGATATTTTACGTTGGTATTCTGTGAGAGCATGATCCTTCTCCGGTTGAGCCGCGGTACTTATGTATGTGCGGGATGTATAATCACGTTGTGCGTGTGTGTGAAGCGTTCCACACATTGACCAAGAACTCGTTTTTGAAATGGTCAAAAATCTATTATATATAAAGGTAAAGTTCAGAGTATTTAATATGTTGTGACACAAGGTCCAAATCATAGAATTTTTATTTGAAAGTTCATCGTAAATGAAAGTTCCGCCGTACAAGATCTCGTTTTTAGAAACGTCATGGTACGTTGTGCTATATCCATTTCATACATTAAGACGTAAAATCACGTACCGCCCGTGAAATTATTAATTGGTTTAATAAGCATATTTCTAATCCTAATAATTAATACTAATACCTTAAATGTTTAACGTACTACTAGATACGAGGTTATGAGGAACGTCAGAGATGAATTTAAATGAAGAGACTCCATTGTAATGTTCAAATAGAGATAATTCGTACGCGAACTTCGTTGTGAACGGCTACGCTGATATTATAATGCAGGAACGTGTACAATACAATACAATGATGTAGAAATATTAATCATGTTCATATAAAGACCGAAGAAAGACCATGGAAGCACAGAATAATAGTGGGAAATAACGGCATATCCCTTCTGTGCTTCTTATGATGAGTGACGGGAACCTAATCCCATTTTTATTAGTGACGAGAGAGGCAAAGGTGTGACATCTTAATATACAGGCCAATGACAATGCTTGGGAAATTAGCTTTTTAATTGAAGATATATGTAGGTGTTTGTGGTTCATAACTTTCAATTATCACTATGTGGATTAACAGCTCATTTGTCACACTAACTTTGACTTAAATCGGACTAGTTATCAGGTTGAAAACATGATTATTGCAATTTTTTATTTTAATCTGTTTACATTTGAAATTCTAAGCAAATGTCGAGAACAATTACAATAGAGAGAACAGATAATAAATACACTAAAGGGATACAGACAGGAAAATAAATATGTTTTCCGATGTTGTGACAATAACACTTAAGGCGCTTAAGTAGACAATGCCATTGTTCGAATTATTAAAAAAATGGTACATATCAGGAGCGCAAGACTGGAGTTTATTGCTTAAGGAGATGTGGTACCATTTTGAATTAATACTTAATTAGGTATTTGCAATTTAAATTTAAATTTGTTGTTTTATTCCTGACCAAAAGACACAAGACAAATGATATTATAGGTTTATGTTAAAGTAATAATATAATCATTAAAGTTATGAGTAATTTTTTTATTATCATAAAGAAGATGAGGATGCTTCCAAACATTCTGGAGCTCGGGTGTTAATATGATAAAACATTTGAAAGCTTACTTAAAAACAATTCATAGCAGAAAATCTGGCAAAATTTGTCAATGTAGGAGCTGATTTATGGAAGATTAAATAAAAGTTAGGTTATGTATTATCTACACTGTAACAGTGTTTTTTTAATTATTAGTGGGACTAATGTAAATATTTAATTTCTCAACATATATCACATGTTAAAAGTGGTAAAAGATTCAAAGAAAAAAAATGTTTTAAACTCGCATACCTACTTATATAACGCAATATGTATCAATCTATAATATAGGTTAACGCATAGTTACTTCGCTTATAGTGCGATGGTCAAATAACAGCATTATATCTTATTTTATAAACTGTCCCATTGCTGGACACAAGCTTCCTTGAAATCCCAGTATAGTAAATGAATAGTTAACCAAGCTGACGTCACTTCCCTTACCACTCAGACGGGTTATTCCGCTTAACCACCCTAAGAAATCCACCCTAGGGTGGATACTTGGAATTGCGTGTTCGTTTATCCACCCCATCTGGGGTGGATAATCAGAATTCGTATATTATTTATCTTCCGATTTTTCCCCTCAGTTGTGAACAGTCGTAAAAACATGATAGAAACTAGTACAAGATTACTTAGTAGACTTATTTATAAACATACACACACACACTTCTTGATTAAAGGTGAAAACTGAAATAATTGTTGAATTACAATCTTTCGATGTGACATAATTTACATCATTTTGGAGTTACTTTATGACGACAGAAATGTTTTACTGCATTTAATTTCAATTATATTTTAATTAAAATAAGTATTTAAATTAAATAAATTTATTTCTAATTATATAAACAGTGTTGGAAATAGTACGGTACTTAACAAACTTTAAAATGTCTTTTATTAACGTTGTTTTTAGCGGTGATATTCTAAATACGTATTGAAAGTATCTCTGTCGATTTTATTTATAAAGTGGTGCAAAAGTTATTTATCTTGTTTAAACTGTATACAAAAATATCTATGGTACTAGATCTAGTGATTATGCGAAATATGTTATCTAAAACATTTAAGCTATAAGTGTATATTTTATTATAGTATATTAAGCTATAATATCCAAAAATATCGTTACAAGTGCTTATAATATTTTTATCAAAGTGCTAATTCGGGTATTTGTGAACTCGTTGAACGGTCGCGGTTGTTGTCTACCATCGGTGTATCTATAACTACTTGTTAACTGGCTAAGTGAGGATAGCGGCTGTAAATTTCAAACTATATTGCAGATAAGTGATTGGTGTAGTGGTGCTCGTGTTGGGCTCAAATTATTAACATACTGACGATCAAATCCAAGGCTCTCTACTTTGAGAACAAAATTATTTTTTTCTTTTTCATTTATTTATAATTTAGAAGCTTTTTAAGATTATTTTTAGATTTTAGATTTTTTTTTGTAATGTCAAAAAAATCATGGATGATTATTGTGTAGCATGCGGTAGTTCACCACCATCACCTAGTAAAAGAGTGAAAATTAAATGTGTATGAATATAAAAGTTGAAACTGATAAGGACCTCAGCAGAGTTGAAAAAGCGTCATGGAAATGTTCCACCTGTATAAATGTACTACTCGCCGCAAAGGGGACAACTCTAACACCCCAGTGTCTGCACGTCGTCCTGCGCCGCTCGATGACTCCTTGACGATAGATGAAACAACGTATGCCAATACATCTGGCTCTAGTATTCCTATTCAGGAACCTGTACCTACCTCTGGTAACCTTACACTTAACAACATAGCCGAACTTCTTGACTCAAAGTTGAAGGAAATCTTTCTTCTCCGATATGAAATCGTTCATCAAAAGTGAAATAAACGCTGCTATTGAAAAAACAAAACAAGAATTCACTGAAACTACAGATTTTGTGCAGTCAGAAAATAAAGATATAAAAGCTTCCTTATCAGTTGTCGAAACTTACATTAGCGAACTAGAGAAAGAAAATTGCAATTTCCTGAAAAATATAACGTCTTTGCAAAATCGTTTGGTGTCTATGGAAAAAGTTTCGTGGAGCTGCAATGTTGAAATACAAGCTGTCCCTGAAAAGCGAAATGAAAACGTACTTCCAATATCTTTATAAAACCGTGAACTTACAAATCAATCAAAAAAATCAAAAAGTGAAATTACAAGTCAGCGCTTGTCGTAAAGTTGCTAAGTTACCATCTACTTCTGCAAGCCGTCTACGCAATATTCTAGTGAGCTTTCCATCTACACGCTACTTCTACGCTAATTTCTACGCTAATTTAATTTCAGCGGTGAAACGTTTTAACAAAGCCAATTCTAAGGATCGGATAAGTTCAGTGCATCTTGGTGTTGCTGGCGAAAGGTCTTTGATATATGTCAGTGAGCACTTGCCACCTGAGTGTAAGGAACTCCACTCAGCTACTAGAATAACATTACGGGGCAAATATAAGTATATATGGGTCAAATATGGCAATGTATACATCAGAAAAGATGATATGTCATCGCTTATACATGTAAAAAATAAGGATTTCCTATCGAAGTTGTCATCCTAAGTTAATTATATATATATAATAATTTTAAGCATATATTCTGTTTTCCCTTTATTTTTCTTGTTAAGTTACTCGCTCTAAAACTTCCGAGTTTTATTTAGAATGATTAAATAACGACTATGATGTAATATGTTTATCCGAAACTAACCTTGATGCTGGTGTATGTAATGAGGAATTTTTTGATGAACGTTACAACGTTTATCGTAGAGATAGATGTAATTGCGTGTACACCAATCAAAAAAGTGAGGGAGGAGGAGATTCTTGCTGTAAAAAATGTTTTAATGTCATGCGTCGCGGAACCTGGGACAGTGTGAGGATCTTTGGATATCTATACTGCCTAATGATAACAATGCGAATGCGATGGCGATAAACCTCTGTGTTTGTTACTTGCCTCCTTACTTACATCTTGATGATTTTGAAAGATTTATGGGTCATGCTCAAAGTGTTGTTTTAAATAATGATGAACTGGGATTTTTCTGTATATTAGGCGATTTTAATATCCCACACGTTTACTGGAATAAGTTAAAAGTTCAAAAAGATTACTACTCCTTGGGCTTAAGTAAAAAAGCTTACTCTTTGCTTAATATGATGGCTCTATTTAGCTTTAAACAGTTTAATTTCTTAACAAACTGTAATGACCGAACGTTAGACTTAATTTTGGCAAATTTCGATGATGTGCATGTGACTGCAGCACTACCTATAATCAAACCTGATAGACATCACCCTTGCTTGCACATATCTACTGGACACCAGCAAGCATTTAAACCCATCAGGCATAACCCAGTCAGTTTAAAACCAAATTTCCATAAATCTAACTTTATAAAATTAAAAAATCATTTAGTTAATACAAATTGGCAACATCTTTTAGCTGAGGAAAATGTAGATGATTCAGTTGAAATATTTTATCAAGAATTAAATAAAGCTATTTTTCTTTATACACCTTTGCAGAAAAGTCCATCACTTAAATATGCATACTGGTACAGTCCTGCTTTAATTCGTTGTATTAAAGATAAACTAAAATTTCATAAATTGTAAAAAAAATTGGCAACCCATCTCATAGAGATCACGATACTTTTAGTTTATTGAGGAAAGAAGTAAAAAATTAATAGAAGAGTGTTATAAGAACTTAGTACGGAATGTGGATAGCGACCTAAACGGTGATATGAAAGCCTTCTGGAAATTTGTCAAAAGAAAAAGAGCAAGTGGAAATATACCTCAATCCATGACTTATGAATCTCACACCGCAAACAAGCAGAAGGACATCTGCGAACTCTTTTCCTCATATTTTTCATCTGTATATGACAAACCGGATAGAAATAAATTTGCATCGTTTACGTTTCCACCAAAACATCATTTTACTTTATCAGATATACGTATCTCAACTGATGAGTTATTGTGTCTAAGCTGTCATAAATTGGATGCTTCGAAAGCTCCTGGGCCAGATGGAATTCCTGCTATATTTGTAAAGACATGGGCAGAAGAGCTTAGTTTGCCATTGTCTATTATTATCAATAAATTACTAAGTACGGATACTTTCCCGAAAATCTGGAAAAATGCCTTTATCATTCCCATTTACAAATCCGGTGATAAAACAATATTTAAAAATTATAGGCCCATAAGCATACTTTCCTGCATGGCTAAAGTTTTCGAAACATTACTATATTCTCACATATACAGTCACGTTAAGCAGAAAATTTTATGTGTGGATCATGGCTTCATATCTGGTCAGTCTACGATAAGCAATTTGTTCATTTATAGAAATCACATCAGTACTGCTATTGCTAATCGTCGTCAGGTGGACTCAATTTATACAGATTTCTCTAAGTCATTTGACAAGGTCAATCACGAGTTACTGTGCGCAAAATTAGGAGCTTATGGCATTCATGACAATTTACTTCATTGGGTAAGATCGTACATATCCAGGAGGGGTCAGATTATTGCGGTCAAAGGCTATAACTCTGCTCCAGCGGCGGTCACGTCTGGTGCTCCCCAAGGATCCCATTTAGGGCCATTGTTTTTCATTATTTTTATAAATGATTTGGTTGATACAATTCGGAGTCACTGTTTACTTTATGCCGATGATATAAATATATACCGGCTCATAAGTGACATTAATGACTGCATTGCATTACAAAAAGACATAGATACAGTTTGCGATTGGTGTTTTGCTAATCTTATGTCCTTAAATATCAGTAAGTGCTTAGTTATCACTTTCACTACTAAACACAATTACCTGCATTTTAAATACAATATTAGTAGTCAGCCTCTAACACACAAGGAGATTGTTAAGGATTTGGGCGTTTATTTCGATTCAAATTTTTCGTTTCGTCCACATTATGAGTTCATAACTTAAAAAAGATTCAAAACCTTAGGGTTTACAATTCGTGTAACGAAAAATTTCTCCAAACCTCTCGCATCATTTCATTTATTTTATACTTTACACTTACAGGGAAGTTACTTTGATAAATAATTATAATACACAACACTCGTAGTTATGATTTGGTTCTTTTTGATTTGATTTTAGTTCGTTTTGTAGTGGAGTATGCTTCCACTGCATGGTCACCCTTTTATAAGGTACATTCGGACAGTATCGAGAGGGTGCAGAGTTGTTTCATTCGCAGTGTTTGCAGTAGATATGGTCACTTGCGTCGTCTACCATCATACGACACCAGACTAAAGTTTTTTAATGTCCAGCGATTGTCTTTGAGGAGACAATTTGCCGAGCAAGTTTTTTTTGCACAAGATTATGCATTCTCGTATAGAGTGCCCAGAGTTACTATGGCTAATTAACTTCAATTCTGGTATACGACAACGTGTTCAAAGAATTTTCAAGTTAGACGTACACAAGAATAACACTTTCTTTTTAAACCCTGTTGTTAAAATCTGCCGTGATTACGACGAGATTAAGCATAGTAACGTACATCTAGATATATTCGATAGTAGCCTGGTTAGATTTAAAAGAAATTTACGTGTTTCTCTTAACATTTAATGTATTTCTTATCTGTTTTATTTTTGCTAAGACTAAGATTATACTGCAGCTATATTATTATGCTGTGTACACTTTTTTGGATTGTAGTTTAGATCAATACAAATATACTTTTAATTTTAGACCATTATATAACTACTGTCTGTTTGTGTACCTTATTCAATAAAATAAAAATAAAATAAATTAAGAGAGAATTTTATACAGGATATACAATTACGTTTACTTAGTAATGAGATTAGTTAGTGTTGGTCATTTCCTGTACATATTGGAAAATTTATAAATTATTTATTATTATTTAAAACACGGAAATTTAATTTGGTTTAAATACAATACGTAAAATGATTTTTGTTTAAGTTTGTGGTTATTAAAAATTAATCAATAATATGATAAAGTATGAACGTATTTTCTGTTGAATTGTACTTGGGTTGGAAAGGCGGAACAACATTAAAAAAGTGAATTCCGATTATCTGCCCCGACTAGGGTGTTTATTTGGTTATTTCAAAGAAAAACGCATTTCTGATATTTTAACTGTCAATTATTATCCAAATATCTTCAAGATAGTTGACACTGTATATATGTAACCGTGCCTAAAAAGGGTATCTACCACATAATTGACATCGTACGGCTCTTTTACGATAGATGCCCGCTATCCATAGTCAATACAACGGTCAATGATGTCAATACCCAATCAATAGGCATATTCCAAAATAACAAAGCCGGATCAGTAGTCTAGACAAGACTCACATAACGAAGCAAGGATCAATAAAAAACAGGATCAATATGTAAAATAACGAAAGAAAATGTGTTTAAAAAGCAAACAAAATCTTGACAGAAACGTTGACTTAAGTCAAAAATAGAATACGCGGGGATCGTGCGGTCCATGGCCCTTTACGGGGCCCCGGTGTGGGCGCGTGGTTTGGCGCGGCTTGCCGTCCACCACCTGAGCGCGCCCCAAAGGGTGATAGCCGTGAAAATGGTTCGCGGCTACCGCACGATCTCCCGCGAGGCGGCGAGCCTCCTTGCCGGATTGCCGCCATGGGATCTGGAGGCGATAGTCCTCGCGCGCCTGCACGAATGGCGTGCGGAAGCACAGTGCCGTGGGGAAACCCCGCTGCCGCGGCAAGTTGTCGCGCAGCGGACAGACTTCCGGCACGATCTCATGGCGACATGGAGACAGCGACTGTCGCAACCCCGTGCTGGGCACGCCACTATAGCGGCGATAAGACCCCTCTTTGAGGAGTGGCTTGAGAGACGCCACGGCATCCTCACCTTCCGCCTGACGCAGGTCCTCACCGGACACGGTGTGTTTGGGAGGTTCCTGCACCGAATCGGGCGGGAGGAAACGCCCGGGTGCTCCCACTGCGATGATGGACCGGAGGACACGGTGGAACACACCGTGGAGGTGTGCCCTGCTTGGGCGGAGCACCGCCGTGTCCTCGTAGCGGCGATAGGAGGCGACGACCTCTCGCGTCCGGCCCTGGTCGAAGCCATGGTCCGGAGCGAGACGGAATGGGATGCCGTCACCACCTTCTGCGAAGCAGTGATGCTAGCGAAGGAGGTGGCGGAGCGGGAGAAGGAGAG